TAGATGCATCAAAAAAATAACTATTTTGTCACATGAAATTTGATATATCAAAAAATAACCATAAATATATCAAAAACGATACCTTTGCGACCGCGACAAGTATAGTCAATATATCATGTGCTGCAGATCTTAGCTGGATCAGCACTTAAATACTTTTGGAACACCAGGGAAATTGAACCTAAACAATCCAAAAATGTATACCGATTTATTATTAATTTACATATCGTGATTTCGTTATTATAATTATTATTATTACTATCTTGATCTGGACTAATAATTTGTTGTGAATATTTGATTATAAAATGAACTAAATTGTAAATTATAAATTTGTGAGTGAATGATGGATAATCAAAAGTAGCTTGCGATGGATAAATCAAACCCATTTTGAATAAGTAAAGTTCTAGCTTGCATGATATATAAGTACGAATACATAATGCCCATCACCGCATTATCATCCAATCAACTTTCTTGATCAAAAGTTAATTCCCAAAGTACAGGCATTGTAACTTTGCACCAGATTCGATTAACTAATAATGATAAAAATAAATTTTGAGTTGAACGAGATGATTTAATAAAAAATTATGACCAAGTGTGACGAAAAACAACGAATGAAATAACTATTAGTGATCTTCGATTTATTTGATTATTGTCACCGTCTGTGCAGAACGAGGTGGAAAGTTACGCCAATCAGTCTCGAACTTTATTTCACGATGCAATATTTTACTTGCTATACTTTTGTCCTCGCGACGTAGTAAGAACAGGCAATCAGTCGATCTAAACAACACTTTTATCCTCGCGACGTAGTAAGATCAGGCAATCAGTCGATCTAAACCTGCTTACTAACAGTTGCGAATTATGTAATTACGTGTATGATCTGAAGGTACGATGAGCAAGTGGAGTAAAAGTATCTTAACAACTACTTGCGCACTTCTGAAACAGACTTTATGATGTAACTTTGCCAAGAAATCGATATATTACTGCTTTGGCGTATCTTACCACTATGTTTTCCTACTACACTAAAATTATCGAAATTATTACAGAAACGAAAGAACAAAGAAATATTTTGTTGATGCCAAAATTTTATTAAAAAACAAAATAAAAGAAAATAATTTCATTACTACTAAGAAAATGTTAGAGACGTCCTGGGATTTTTATTATTATTAAATTTTTATTTCGAAACTATTTATTATTACTAAATTATTAAAAAAAAATAAAGAAAATATGATTTTTCGCCAAAAGGAATCTCTCTTTCTTCTTCCTTTTCGAAGCTATTTTTATATCTTCTCATTATTTACTTTCATCCACCATCATCCATAAACACGAGGATATTATCTTTCATCTTGGATGAAGGATGATGTGTGACGCACAAGGATAATTTCATCCAAATAGTGACACCGTGTTTAGGACATTTTCATGCCACCTTGTTATATAATGAAAATCTGATCTGAATAAGAAACTGTGTGCTTGTTATACAATAATCGCATAATTAATATTCCATTTTGTCTCGCTGCCTTTTTTTTGACGTTCAATTTACAAAATTTACAAAAAGAAAAATGTCTTTAAAATTCTCTGACAAGTTATCTCAAAATTTTATTGAACTTCTTAATGATAAATAAGATTATAATGTAATGATTGAAGTTGAAAATAAAGAAAAATCGTTTACGGCACATTCCAACGTATTGAAATTCCGATCGCTATATTTTCGAAGAGAATTAGAAAATATTCAGTCAAATGAAAAAATATTAAAATAATCGTCAAGTCGAGCATTTCCACTCATATTTTAATATTGTTCTTCAGTGAATTATTAAAAAGAGAATAAAAATTATTACAAATTTATTTATTATGATTATTATTTATTATTATTATTTATTATTTCGTTTGTTATTTATTATTTTTATTGTTTTTAGATATATCTATGGAGGAATTGTTAATTTAGAAGATATTGAAACTAAATTTATTTATAATTTAATGTTGGCTGCTGATGAATTTAACCTTGAGGAATTAACCAACAAATTAGAAACTCTTCTTATTGAAACTAATGGCTCTTGGTTGAGAACACATTTTTCGATTATTTTTCATTCTATTTTTAGTCGAAACAATTTTGAAAAATTAGAAAACTTTTGTAATGATATTGTTGCAAAGTATCAAAACATTATTTTTGATGCTGATGATTTTACTTCTCTCAAAGAACCTGCATTATTATCTCAAACGAGATGATTTACAAATCGAAGAAGTTAAAATTTGGGATTATGTCATCAAGTGGGGAATTGCACAAACTTCTACCCTTCCTACAAACCTTGATGATTGGACCAAAGAAAATTTCCTTACCCTAAAAACTACTCTACAATGTTGTTTGCCGTATATTCGTTATTTCATCTTTCTGGTGTCGATGTCATGGACAAAATTTAACCTTTCAAAAAAATTATGGATAAACAACTTTGGGAAGATATAAATCAGCATCTATTAATTCCTGATCGACCATTAAATCAACTATTTTGCCACCAAGATCAATTTTGGTTACAGAGTTGCCTCCTCGTGCAGAAGAACCAAGTGAATCTCTTTCGACTATCATTTCCGAAGAACATGCAGCAGAAATTTCTACATGGATTACAATAGAGGAACTGTATATACTTTAACAAATATTCCATATAAATTTGAATTAATCTTACGTGGAACACGGGATGGATTTGCACCACAAACATTTTGGAATATTTGCCATGGTCACTCTCGTACGGTTATTTTAGTAAAAATTAAGGGAACAGATGAAATTATCGGAGTTTATAACCCTTTAACATGGGATAACAATAATATTGATGATGAATGGATAGAAACAAAAGATAGTTTCATTTTTTCATTGAAAAATGGTAATATACAAAATTCAATTCTTAGCAGAGTAAAAATACCCATAGCGCATTTATTAATAAATCCAAAAATGATCAAAAAAAATTTGGACCAGTTTTTGGTGATTTTTATATGGATATTGTTATGAAAACGCTAAGATCATCGCCACAATCATTAATTAAGTATTTTAAGATTGCTAGAAAACTACTTAAAATTTATACTTTAGGAATATTTGATTTTTATTAACAAATATTTATATTTTATATGATTACATCGATTTTATAACAAGGATTAAAAAAATAGAAACTATAGATTTTAGAGTTATTTATTATTATAATTATTATTATTTATTCTATTGGCCTGAAAATCAGATAGGACATGAGATTTGTAGAAAAATAATTTTATAAATGTCTAAAATGTACAATTTTTTTTTTTATACCAATGGAGTCTTGCTCCAATAAACTTTATTAATATCAAATCTGTAAATTTTTTACATTTTATATATTGTACGTTTATTGAAAATCCAAAATGGTCTATTGTAATTTATAACAACTTTTAAAATCTGTTTTCGATAATAATGGTGGTAAATTACATAATAATGAAATATGATTGTGCTCAACAATAGATGGAAATCAATTAAAAACAATCAAATCTCAAAAAAATGAGTCATCTCTATCGTCAAGTATATCTCATCCGCAATATTGCTAAATTAGTCGAAGTATTCATACTCTTCATGGATTGCATGATTTATTAGAAGGTATAAAATCTGGAAAATCTCAAGGTATGGTTATCATGATTTTAATTATATTGATTTAGTGAATAAATAATCACAAAAACTTTGAATTTACAGATCCTAATTTATCAAAATCCAAGGAAACATCTACATCTACTTCGAGTAGAGTGTTATACATATATCTATGATAAAGAACAACAAAAATGTATTGAATGGGAAAAAGAAATTCAAAATCAAACAAAAAAAATGATTTGATTATGAATTCCAAGAATCTAAAGAATGCATTAATTTGGACAAAGATAATATTATAATAAAATAATATTAATATTTGATTATTTTATATTTATTTTTAATTCGTGATCTATGTAAGAACCGGACAATCTCATTAATAAAAATTGGGTATATATAATATAATATTTATTAGTAAAACGGAATCAAAAAAAAAAAATAGTAAATTTAACAAATAAAATTTTTTTCTTATATAAAATTATTTCTAAATTAAAGAAAAATTTATCTTGATTCTAAAAGTTAATCTCTATATAAAATCATACTCTAATTTGTCCGCAATTCCCTAATCCATACGTGACAATCACCACTGGTGATGGGATGGTGATCTCAAGCAACCCACCCTGCGAAAACTCTATAATGTTATTTTGTTTTATTTTTTCTTGTTATTCGTTTATTTTACTAACAAAAAAAACAACTTTAACTAAAGTAAATAAAATATATAGACTTTTGAATACTACCTACTAAGAAGCAACGTTGTGTAATGAGATAATAGCTATAATTTATTGAATACGATGCTTTAGTTTTTGCGATTTTATAAAAATAAATATTAATGTTGAAATTTTTTAAAAATATATAATTAAAAATTGTATCTCCTCAAAAAAAATATAAAAAAAACTTTAAAATTAAATATGGTGTTTTATATTATTTGCTAAAAGCCATTAAATAACATATTCTTTTTTACATTTAAAGTTCATATAAGGAAGCCTTTACATTTTAAAAATTAGTTGAAAAATTTGATGTCTTTAGACATTTGCCCCATACAAAAACATTTCTAAAATCCCCAAAACTCAAAGATTAAAATATGAAAGATTAAAATATGGAGAGTAACTATTGTTCAGGTGCTAGAATTTTTTAACAAAAAAAAAAATAGGGGCTTCAATACTTGATATGAAATATGCATAAAACTAAAGTATATGAAAGATACAAAAATAGAAAATCTTTAATAGAATTGCCATTGTAAAAATTTTACAATTCAAATATTTGATTTTTTTTAATTTAGTATATGTACCCGCATTAAAAGTTTTTTTTTTAGATAAAAAGCCAATTCTCTATCGATCTGAAGCAAATGTACATTCATATCTGATATAGGCTAACGAGCCTAATATTAAGCTTTGAAAGTTTAAAGTTTAATAATTTTAAAAATAGATGTTAGATCATTTCTCTTATTCTTATATGCAAATAAATTTACAATTAATTACAAAATATGCGGTCTTTTATTTTTTTTTTAAAAAAACATTGTACAATTTAGACATTTATAATCAAAAATCATGATAGAGATTACATATAATTTTCAGATTAATAACCAATAATGCAATAATACAATGAATAGTAAAATAAAATAATGCAATAAATAACTTTGATTCTAAAGTAATTTTTTCTAAAAACTGTCGTTCAATTTAATTCTTGTTATAAAGCTGATGTAATTTAAATTAGAGAATATATAAAAAAATTAATTGAAGTCGCGATCCGCGAAAGTAGGCCATTACTGTTTATAATTTAAATACGTAAATCCAAATCTATAGCTGCTTCAAGGAAAATATTTTTTCGCCAAGTTGATTGATATTTTTTGTCAAATCGCGTTCTTGTTAACTCATCGCAAATCCGTGATTAAAAATGATTTGTATAAATTTGAATATAGAGCCGATCTCAATAATTTATTAAAGTAGAAGAATAAATACAGATAATATAAATGTGATCACACATTTGATAATAATAAAAAATAAAATATAATATAATTTATTATGTTCCTAAAGTATCCTAAAGTATTTAGTTTTCAAGCAGTTTCATTAACAATCTTAAATACTTCATAATCAATGATTGAAAAGCATTCTGGTGATGATGATGATAGTGATCTTATAGGTTTTTTATAATTTAATTTACGATAAAAACAATCGTTATCTAAAGTGAAATTAGATCTACGACTGTTCATCCAAAAATCACCAAAAAATGGTCCACATTGATTTTGATCATTTTTAGGTACATGACGAATTGCATAACGGGGTCTTATTACTCTGTTAAGAATTGAATTAGGCACATTACCATTTTTTAATGAGAAAATGAAACTATCGTTTGTTTCACCCCATTTTTCCTTATTATTACTTTTATCCCAAATCAATGGATTATAACCTCCGATAATTTCATTTGTTCCGTTAACTTTTGCTACAATAACTGTGTGAGCGTGACCATGGCAGACATCCCAAAATGTTTGTGGTGCAAACCCATCTCGAGTTTCACGTAAGATTAATTTGAATTTATATGGATTATTAGTTAAAGTATATGCAAAACTACTACGGTCAATCCACGTAGAAATTTCTGCAGCGTGTCTTTCAGAAATGATAGTCGAAAGAGATTCCCTTGGTTCGATTACACGAGGATGTTCTACTGCACGTGGAGGTTCTTCTGTACAAGAGGGTTCTTCCCTACGAGGAGGTTCTTCACATGGAGGTTCTACATGAGAAGATTCTTCACGAGGAGGTAATCCTGTAGCCAAAACCGATCTTGGCGGCAAAATAGTAGAACTGACTTTTCGTTCAGGAATTAATAGATGTTGATTGATATCTTTCCAAAGTTGTTTATCAAGAATCTTTTTATATGGTTCAATTTTATCAATAACTTCAATACTTGAAAGATGAAAATAACGAATATGAGGTAAACATTGTTGTAGAGTAGTCTTTAGTGTAAGGAAATCTTCCTTGGTCCAATCATCAAGGTTAGTAGGAAGAGTAGGAGTTTGAGCAATTCCCCACTTGATGACATAATCCCAAATTTTAACTTCTTCGATTTGTAAATCATTTCGCTCAAGAAGAGAGACCAGTGCAGATTCTTCAAGAGAAGTAAAATCATCAGCATCAAAAATAAGGTTTGGGTACTTTGCAACAATATCATTCCAAAAATTTTCTAATTTTTTAAAATTGTTTCGACTAAAAATAGAATGATAAATAAAAGAAAAATGTGTTCTCAACCAGAATCCTTTGGTTTCAATAAGAAGAATTTCTAATTTGTTGGTCAATTCCTCAAGTTCAAATTCGCCAGCAGCTAACATTAAATCAAAAATAAATTCAGTATCTTCTAAATTAACAATTCCTCCATAGATATATCCAAAAAAAAAAAAAAATAATTAATTAATTAATAAAACTATAATATTATAATAATAAATTTCGTAATGGTTTTCATATTATTATTGATAAGAACTTACTGAAGAATAACATTAAAAATTTGAGCAGAAATGTTTGACTTGATAATTATTTTGGTGCTATATTCATTTGGCTGAATATTTTTATTTTCTAATTCTCTCCGAAAATAAGGTGATCGGAATTTCAATACGTTGGAATGTGCCGTAAACGATTTTTCCTTATTTTCGACTTCAATTATTACATTATAATCGTCTTTGTCATTAAGAAGTTCAATAAAATTTTGTGATAAAATGTCAAAGAATTTTAAAGACATTTTTCTTTTGGTAAATTTTGAGCTAAATAAAGTGATTCTGATATTTACGAGTTTATCGTTCGTTTTATTGTCTGTTCTGTTATAGTGTAACATGTAATGAATGAATTTTTTACCAAAAAAATTTCGTGTAAATTAAACGGAAATAAAATAATTTATTTATTGTTTTATTACCTAAATTTGGGGATGTCTAAAGCAGTGTCCATCATATGATTGCCGAAATTAGGTCTGTTTCTTGTATTTTCATGTTTTTAACCTTTTTTCTTTCGGGCTGATCCGGTCTGCGCAGAACAATGTGGAAAGTTACAGTAAGGTCAGGCAATCAGTCGATCTAAACCTGCTTATTAACACTCTCAAACAATGCAATTACATGTAATATCTGAAGGTACGATGAGCAAGTGGAGTAAAAGTATCTTTAATGACTACTTGCATACTACCAAAACTATTGTAGACTTTTTGATGTAACTTGCCAAGAAATAAAAGAAATAGTTTATTAAAATTTATTGAAATTTCATGTAGGAGTATAACAATAGCAATATATTACTGCTTTATCACTTTGCTTCCTCCTGCACTAAATTAATTATTAAAATTATTACAGAAATATAACAATAGAGATATATTACTGTGTTGGTGTATCTTATCCTATTGCTATATGAAATTATTTTATTATTATTAAGTATTATGAATGAAAAGTAAAAATAAACTAAATTAAAATGATCAAAATATTTAAGTAAAAATAAAACTAAAATTAAAATTGTTCAAAATATCAAGTAAAATATTTTTATTTTGGTTCTTGTTCTTTTTGGCAAAAAGGAATCTCTTCTTTTTTTTCCTTTTTTTTCCACAGCTATTTTATATCTTACCCTTTGTTTTATTTTCATCCACCATTATCCATAAACATGAGGATCTTGGATGAAGGATGATGTGTGATGCACAAAGATAATTTCATCTAAATAGTGACACTGTGTTTAGGACGTTTTCATATCACCTCAGTATTAGTATAAACAAAACTGAAAATTGCAAAAATTATTTTATTACATGACACAAAAATCATTTATTTTTTCCCTATCCTTTTAGATATCAAAAACTGGTTATGCTACTTACATTTTCTCTTCTGACAATTATTAGCATGAAGACTTTTTTGTATAGTTGTTTATTTAGAACAGATAATGTTCCACATTTCTTCTTGATTGCTTATACTCATAAATTACGAAGGCGAATTAATTTAAAATTTCATGTAAATCGTCAATACATGATTTCTGGAATTTTGGATAATTTTTTAAAAGAGAAAAATTCAATTACAAGATTAGTAATTTGTACAACTGAGATAGATTATGATTTACAATCTAATTTTACATTTTTTTTTTAAAAAAAAAAATCCAATGGAGTCTTGCTCCAATAAACTTTTATTAATAAATTAGGTGTAAATTTTAAAG